ATATGCATACCTTCATATGAACAAGATTTTGGAAATAATTAGATTTTTTATAAAAGAAAATTCTATTCTGACCCACAAACACCCTAAGATATATGCTCCGCTTAGAAACGGGTTTTCATCGCACTTTGTAAGTACAGTACAAACCCATTGCGCCTATGTAAGCAAAATTTTTAATCTTCCTTCTACAAAGTTTCCTGAAATATCTGCTGAATTTACGATTGACAGAGGTATACCTATATTGTGACAAAGATTAGAGAAGCGTATGCTTGAAACTGGGTCTTCAATAACCATTTTTCGGAGTATAGATCTTATATTATTGCACAATAATATTATGGTTTTATACAAACTGAGTGAATTGAATACTAGGTCCAAACGTCATGACATGTACCCACAGTTACAATACGATACTATGCACTATCGAGTATACTCGAATATACTTTTTAAATACAGAGACTGTCTTTTTCAGTTAATTGGCAGTGAGTTTAATATCATAAAATAGAAAATATACATTATATTATGGGTGTATACATGATTTTCAGAGAGTATATTGTTTATTATTTAATATTAACCACATACCAATTTAAAAAATAAATAAATAAAATTTAGTTGTTAAAACAAAAATTAGAGAAATATAAATTTAATTTAAATTTTTAAATTAAATTTGGTCATTAAAATAATAAATTATAAAAACACAATTCTTAATTGAAAATATAAGCAAACGAAACTAATTGAATTAAACTTGATTAAATACATTGTGACCGAAAGGTTTTCGGAAATTCTCATTTAAAATTCGCGCGCTGTATATTTTTCGATATTTTAAGTTAGTAGTTTGCAAACAAACCTTAATTACTAATGCCAAAAATGAGCGCGATCTGTCAGACAGTTCGTTTACGGCAGCTGTTGAAACCAGTTCACCTCAGTAGTGCGTTGCGAAAAAAACAATGGAAAAAAATATTGAACAAAGAGTTTGCATCAAATTTTGTTTTTCGAACGAAATTTCGTGTGCAGAATCGTTGCGAATGCTACAAAAGGCTTATGGGGAATCAGTTTTATCGAAAACTCAAGTTTATGAGTGGTACAAAGCCTTTCAGGACTGTCGTACGACCGTCGAAGACATGCCGCGTTCTGGACGACCTTCGACCTCTACCACCGACGAAAACATTGAAAAGGCAAAGGAAATCGTGTTCAAAAATCCTCATGTGAGTGTTAGAGAGATAGCACGAGAGCTAGGCATCGGTCGTGAGATGGCTCGTTTGATTTTGGTGGACAATTTGTGTATGCGACGTGTCAACGCCCGGCTTGTTCCGATTCACCTCAATTTGTTCAACATTATCAACGATTTTAAGGCCAAACATTCAATAAATACCATCGAACAGCCACCGTATTCACCTGATCTTGCACCGTGTGACTTTTTCCTGTTTCCCAACCTCAAATTACCACTCAGAGGAACGCGTTTTGAATCCATAGAAGACGTAAAACAGAATTCGCAGAGGGAACTCAAAGCCATACCGGAAAGCGCCTATAAAAAATGTTTGATGATTGGAAGAAACGTTGGCATTTGTGTATCGCTTCTAATGGAGGCATATTTTGAAGGAGATAAAATAAATATTGATGAAGGTTAAGAATTTTGCGTTTTATTTAAAATTTCCCGAAAACTTTTCGGTCACAATGTATAATGAAATATTTTTTTATTATTTTCAGAGCAACGTCTTCTCAGTATTGTTGGGTAAGTGAATAAGTTATGAATGTGTTGGATGCCAACATAAAAATTTTAATTAAGCTATAAAATATTGGAACCTTTAAAATTTTTTGACGGTAGATAAATATATAACAGTATTAATACGAATTGCGTGAAAAAGTAAATCGGTAATGACTACTATGTTACTATAAACTTGTGATTTAGAACTCATTAAAAACCTATTTTGAAGCGATTAGCTATTTACTTTGATTTAGCTATTTACTTCAAATTTTGTAATTTACTTCGGTGTTATATATTAATGAATGAAAAATTAGAAAATGGCGTTTATCAGAAAATATTTAAAAATAATAGAAACGTTTTTGTAATCTCTAATCTACTACTATAAAACACTCATTTCATAAAGTCAAACTATGGTAAGACGATTGACGCATATGTCTAAGGAAAGCTATATTCAAACAGTAGACCGTTTCAGTAGACGTTGTTTCAGACGTCCTTTACCATTTTTGAAAAACATTTAAGTCCCCTTCAATTGGGAAATGCATTTTTCTAAAAATATAAAAGTCACACGGAACGATATCAAGTGAATAATGTTAGTAGTGGTATGAATTTGTCTATTGTTATTTATCTTTATTTTCGTTCGTCTCACTAAATTGTCAAATGTCAAAAATAACACACGTCAGTTTAATTGTTAATAAGTCAACAACCTTTATTTGCTCTTACCTGATGTACAGCTATTACTTATTAATTCTCAAAACAAAGTTCGTCACAATATGTTACCAATACTAATAATTGTCTACGAAGTTAATCTTCTCATAAATATCGATTGCTAAAATGTCCGGGTTATGTTTTATGTTAAGTGGCGGTAAAGTTCACTCATCCCTCCAAGTAGCATATAGTCGCTATTTTATTACTACACAACCGGATATGAGATTGAAATTTTAAAAATCAATCTTTAAGTCGATAAAAGATATTAGTCTTGGAAGATTTTTATTTGGGATATCAGCAATGCTCACTAGTTCATACAGTTCCATAGTGAAATGTCGCAATTTTTCCACCGCTGAATATTTGTAGAGAAACTTTTAAATTGTTTTTTCTTTCCTCTTTTAACCAGCAGTTGTTGTATTTTTAGTAATAATCAATCATAATACTATATAAATATATTATATTATACATATTATATATGTGTTATATATGTATATATAATACAATATATTATATTATATTATACAGTATATACAATGTATCCTAGTACATAGGTTGTGGTTCGACAATGTCGAAATGTTCGGAACTCGAATATTAACTTTAAAGTTTAGTAGTTGAGTTATATGTGAATGGTTGGAACAATTTCACCAATCATAATTATATTCTAGTTATAAGCATTTCACTCCCTCTTTTGGATTGGGAACGAGCAACCATAACTTATATATATCTAAGAATTATTTTTCAGAACATTTGCACTTGAATGTACCAATCTTAAATTTTCTTTAGTAACACTTTCTGCACAAGAATCTTTGAATGGCGTAAATTCATAAACAAAAAATTTATGTAGTGTAAAAAACTACCAGAAACTTTTTGGAATTTATAAAATCTGTAACATTTTTATAATTATGGTCGAAAATCTCTAGAAAGCAAGAAGCACTTCTGAGTAGTTAAGTACTGCAGAAATCTGGTGAAAAAAAATTATTATTTGTGGCCTTAGTTAGACGAAAACCAAATGCCAATTTTCTTGGCAAATTGGTCTGCTGCTAATAATGGCAAAAGTTTTGATTTCGCCCCTTTCAGTACTGCCAGTTACACTTACTGTAGCGTTTGTTTTAATAAAATTTTATATAGAAAAAGTGTTAAATTGTGGCCAAGTAAATAGGAAAAGCGCACAACAAACCGAACAATCGCAGAGCAGATACTGCCGCTAACAACAACGAAGATACGAGCGATTTCAGGCTAAAGTTTGGTTTTATCGCCTAAAAATATGTTTAACACTTTTCAAAGTAATAAAAGTTGTTATAATATTTTTGCACCATAACGCAAAAATCATAAAATGAGAAAATTTTCATTATGGCCTCAACAGTGACAGTTT